CACACACAGTCTTCCCTTATAAACACTCCCCCATACAAACTCCTGCTCACACACCTCCTCACATATTCTCTCTCCTTCCTCCTCACACCACCTCCCCCTTCCCACACAAACTCCTCCACCACAGAGTCCCTCCTCACACTCTACCTCCTGCCCTCTCACACTCCTCCTCCCACCTCCCCTCCTCCACACTCCCCCTCACCCACTCCCCCCACACACACTTCTCACACACACTTCACGCCTAGACACATCCTCACCTCCCGCCTCACACTCCCCCTTCACACAAACTCTCTCCTCACACAAACTCCTCCTCCCACACATTCCCTCACACACCTCCCTCCTCACAAACACTCCCCTCCTCACCCACACTCCCCCTCACACCCACACTCCCCCTCACCCACACTTCCTCCTCACCTCTACCTCACACCCCCACACACACACTCCCTCCTCCCACACTCCCCCTCACCCACACTTCCTCCTCACTCTACCTCACACACCCCCTCCACACCTACTCCACACACTTCCCACCTCAACACATCCTCACACTCCCGCCTCACACTCCCCTTTCCCACAAACTCTCTCCTCCACACAAACTCCCTCTACCACATTCCCTCACACACTCCCCTCACACCCACACTCCCCCTCCCACCCCCCACACTCCCCTCACCCCACACTCCCCCTCACCCACACACTCCCCCTCACCCACACCCTCCCCCTCACCCACACTTCCTCATACTCTACCTCACACACCCCCACACACCTCCCCTCACACCCACTCCCCCTCACCCCACACCCTCCTCACACTCTACCTCACACACCCCCTCACACCCCACTCACACCTTCCCACCTCAACACATCCTCACCTCCGCCTCCTCCCCCTCACACACTCCCTCCTCACACACACTCCCCCTCACACACTCCCTCCTCACAGATACTCCCCACATGCACTCCCCACTCACAGATACTCGCCCTCACAGACACTCCCCCCTCACACGCACTTCCCACTCACAGACACATGCCTCTCACGGAGACATTTCCCCAATGCTCAGACACATGCCTGTCACAAACACTCCGAGAATCATGTTTGATCTGAGTACCCTGTGGACCAGTCATGTTCGCAAAAAAGTAACCATTGCACACCCCTTTGTAGTCTAGAAGCATTGAAAACCCCAAAGAAAGTTTGTTTCTGTGGTTTGCATCAATCAGTATTTAATTTATTAGAAATTAAAGCTGAGAAATTAAAAACATTTATTAAAAAACAATACATCTATTACCTGCTAATATTCTTTTTTGTTTATGGACAGGGTCTTGTTGTGTGGCTTAGTGTGGAGTGCCTGGTGCCTCACCCTCCTAAGTATCCGGAACTATAGGTGTGAGCCACTGCACCCAGGCCTTGCTAACATTCTTTATGAATATATGTTATTCTTCAAAATTGTACTTTCCCAACAAAAGTGGCTAGTGAGCAGGGTTTTGTTGTCTTACATATTTTCAAATTTCAGCTTAATTCTCACATCTATTTCTATATTCACTCTATTGTGATTTATTGTTTTGCTTGAAGTTTATGAAGAAAATCCCGCCTCACACAGATGTATATTTGGAGAATACAGAAGTATTTATTAGCCTTTTAGATAATTGTGGATATTCTTTGATGCTACATTACGTGTTGGCATTGGGGATTCCTTAAAGTTACTTCAGTGTGGAATGCGAAACCGTCAATAAAATTGTCGCCGTCTGTGCCCCTGAGACCTGTCAGTGGACCTGCACTTCGAATAGACATTTTACTGTTCGTGGTTCTGTAACTGTTCATTGGGAAAGTATTGGTTGCCTGAGTTATGCAGCTCTTCCAAATGTTGACACATTTTGTTATAAAATATTTTAAAATTACGTTTGTTAATATCACCACTGATCTCAGAAAAGTCTTTAAGTTTTGGAAATCTATCAAGTTCACATCATCAATACATGTTTTCCAAAATTCCGATTTTTGCTGGAAAGCTCAGTGTTATCATTAGCAACAGATACTGTCACTTGTTCTTGAACTGAAGGACTTGTTTTGTGTGTGTGTGTTTTGAGGCAGAGTCTCGCTCTGTTGCACAGGCTGGAGTGCAGTGGTGCGATCAGTGCTGCTTACTGCGGCCTGGACCTCCTGGGCTCAAACGATCCTCCCGCCTCAGCCTCCAGAGTAGCTAGGACTACAGGCACGTGCTGCAACACCTGGCTAAAGTTTGTATTTTTTGTAGACATGGGTTTTTGCCATGTTGCCCAGGCTGGTCTTGAACTCCTGGGCTCAAGTGACCTGCCGACCTTGGCTTCCCAAAGTAGTGGGATTACAGGCGTGCCCAGACCTGATTTTTTTTAAGCGCCAAATGCCCCCTATGAATAGCTGCAGATCACCTTCCAGCCACCCTTGCAGGGAACATGGCAGCCCATGAAAAGTGGCAGGTTCAGCCACAACGCAGATCATCCAGATTATGGTAGGAATCTTCTCCGTGGGACAAATTTCTTCTTTCAGTTACAGCAGAGGAATTTCATACATCCTTCCTTGATAACCAAAAAGAAATGCACTCAGGGTCAAGCTTTAATAAGCTGATAATTTTATTTCTTCATCAAAGATATGCTTAAGCCAAACTGACCTTGTGTTTTCTGCGGCAAGGGCCATGGGGAACAGGATGCCTGTAGGTGCAGTTGCTGCTGCTCCCAGCTCCCACTCAGGCTCCTGCTGGCTCCCTCCATTGGCACAAATGCAACCCAGTAAAGAGAAGACAATGCATTACAATAATTGTGAAGGCAGTTTCGACTTTGGGAACCCCTGAAGCTGTTGTGGAGACCCCCAGGGGTCTGTGAGCCACTTTTGGAAGACCATGGGTGATTCTTCCTATCCCAGGAACTCATCTGAGGGTGGAAGGGTGAAGCCTGAGGGTTGGCATCTTTAAGATCCTACAACTTTGCAAGTCAACACTTTCCCCGTGAGCAGTGAGAGGTTTGCCGAAAGTTTTGAGCGTCTGGGGCAGGTGCATCAAGGCTGTACATCTCATGCCTGCTGCACCGTCCAGAGGAACGAAGCCACTGATACTTTCCTCCCACCGGCCTGGGCTGATCAGCAGTACTTCAGCTTGGCGTTCATCTCCGGGTGGAGCTGGAGGCCACTGGTGCTAGCAGGCTGGCCTGGTCCACTTTCCTCCCACCTGGCTTCTGAGTGGGATGGATGCCAACCCACCTGGGGCCTGGGAGCCCAAGGGGGATCTTCAGGGGGGTTCATAGGAGAGAATGAGCCTCTGACTACATGGTGCAGCCTCTGAGGCCAGCCCTGCCTCACAAAAGGGATGTTCTGCAGCAGACACAGTCTTTGGTCTCACTGCCTGGGGCTGGCTTGCATTCACTGCTCAGGACTCATGAGAGGCCCGTCCGTGGCCCTCACTTATGTGCCCAGCACCTTTCCCACCAGGGGGACCCCCAACAGCCCACAGAATCAGTGCCGGCCCACCGGCCACCTGGCTGAGCTCAGAGCCGCCACCTGGCCCAAACCAGCCAGGTGTGTGGTTCCTGTCTTTGGAGGAAGGTCATTGTTTTGAAAATCATGATTTTAAAATTAAATGTGATATTTTCTGCAGGAAAGCCTAGAGGAAGCCTTGTGTTTTCAGGCTGCAGAGGCCATTAAGAGACACCTCCTGGGATCGTCGAGATGTCCACACAAACGTCATGGGTGAAGGATGGGCAACACAGTGGTGGCCTTTATTCTGTGTCTGTGGAAACTCCAGCCAGGAAAAGGCTCAGAGTGCTAGGAGGCTTCAGGCTGGAGACAGCGCTATGCAATGTTGCCTCACTAATTATCTGGGTTTACAGCACATTCTGGCCTTAAAGGAGGAGGAAGCAGCATTTTCAAAGACTCAGAAAGACTCCCTGTCCCCCAATTGCTCTCTTGCCAATTCCTGAAATTCTTTGTTAGCAACGTATTGCTCCAATCTAAGCATGGCTGTCTCTCCTAGGTCTCCTTTTACAAGCGCAGTGATTCTGAGAAAACAGTGGCTGGAGCTTCTGCTGAACAGTTTAATCAGCTCCCCATTATTTCTGCACTAGGAGGAGCCTGGGTCCCAGCTGGTACTTGGGGTACAACCAGCCAGGTAGGGTGAGTGGGAGTCCTCTACCCTCTGAGGGGCAGACAGTGTGGGCTCCAGATGATGGACTTATGTTCCAAGAGAAGACAGAAGCCTTAAGTTTTGTTTGAAATCCTCTGAATTTTATGTATTGGTAACTGATTCTTAACTCAAATTCCAAACTCCCTGCCAGCCCCGATGAGAACTTCCTGGACTGCAGGAAATGCAGGAGGAGCTTTCTGAGAGAGCAGCACCAGGAAAGGCGCCTGACTCACAGCTTGGAGCACTGTGACACACTGCCACACGCCGCCACACACCACCACACGCTGGAACCCGGAACACGGAACCTTTGCGGGTGCAGCCCAGGCTGGTGGATAAGGAGGGCTCGTGTGAAAAATTGTTTTCCTCCTGCTGAAGGACGAGGGGCCAGCCAGGGGAAGAGAGTTCCAGAAGCAGGGACAGCGTGTGGGGCCCTTGGCAACTGAAAGCCTGTCCTGCCGGATGGTGTCTCAGAAGCACATCTTAGTGGGGAGCATGGGGAGGCTCTGGTCAGGCTGAGCTCTTCATCCACAGACGATGAAGCCTGCACGGCTCAGGCAGAGGCAAGAGGTCCCCTGGGCTCCTCTGGGTGGGCTGCAAGCTTGGGCCAGACCCCCGGCTGGGCCTTGGAGATTTTCAGGGTGAGCTGGGCTCTGAGCTGCAGGACAGCATCCGTCACGCGGGAACTGGGGTGGGGCGGGGACGGAGCAGGTGGGTGTGGGGCACAGGAGGCGGCAGAGACCTGCCCAAAGAGGGGCAGGCCTAGGGGTGCTGAGGCGGGTCCCTCGGCCACCAGGAGGAGGCTGGGCGGGTGTCACTGGGCAGCGGGCCCTGAGGGTGGGAGAGACGTGCTGCGATTTCGATGCTGAGAGAGGAAGATGAGGAGAGGGCAGCCTGCCCAGGCGTCCTGTTTGGTTTGAGTCCTGACAGTAAGCCAGAGCGTCATAGCCCGAGACAGAGCTGCAGTCTGCACCACGACCCTGCTGAGAAAGTGAGTAGTTTCTAGTGCTTTCTCTTAATTGGGATAGAAAAAATAGCTTGTTAGATTCTTAGGTACAAGCCTCATACCAAGGACTGTACTGTGTTAATTTGTCTGGTAAGAATCCCAGACTGGAGGAACGGTGGCCCCCATGTCCATCACCTGCTTCCACTGTGCCAGACGAGTCATTCTTGAAGATACACTGGGGCCAGGCCAGTGACAGGAATCCCCACTGGCAGTTCAGTCCCTGGGGTGTGCAAATTTCTGAAATACCAGAAAAATTGACATCACTTGAATGGAAATTTACACAATACACTGATACTAAGTGCGGTTTGATGAGTTTGAACAACGTGTTCAACCACATGACCTGTGCTGCAGTCAAGCTAGGGAACATTTCTGCCACGCCAGGAGGCACCCGCCTGCCCCTTCCCACGCGAAGCACAGCGTTCGGGTTTCTGTCGCCATGAGGTGGCTCTGTCTGTCTTCGGGCTTCGTGAGGGAAGCACTTAGTAGGCACCCTGATGTCTGCTTCCCTCACCCAGCACACTGCTGTTAAGATTCACCCATTTGTTGTACGCATTAGTAATTCGTTTCATTATAGAGCAATATTCCGTTTTGTTAATACACCACAGATTGCTTATCCATGGTCTTGCTTTTCATTTAATATTTAAGCGAGGGAGAGCTCTAAGACTTCACTTTGCTCTGCATGCCTGAATAGGTGTCTTCCTCCTGGGGAACTGAGAGGTAGTTCTGCACAGTATTGAGGGTTAATATTCCAACGACACATCTGGGTGCCGGAGAAACAATGGGGCATAGGCTTGGAGGCCCACTGTGACTGGAGGACATCGCAGTGTGCTGGCTCGCAGGGGCTAGAATTAGTCTGTGGAATTAGTCTAGAATTAGCCAGTCTTCCCAGGCCCAGGCTCTCTGGCAAATGGCCACAGACCCTTTGGGAATGGGAAGGGAGTTAAAAGAGCATGTGCTGGTGAAATGATCTGTATCCTTCCTGAAGCCCCAGGCTCTGTGTGTTGGGTGATTCCTTAGGAAATGGGTAAGAAGCTGTAACTTCATTGTTAGGCCTAAGTGAGACCTCGCGTGCTCGGCTGGAGTTGCTCTGGTTATACTGACCAGGTAGGAATGTGTAGACTGCCTGGCTACTTAGGTCCTCGGCCCTGGGGCTGGTGAGTCACCAGTGGAGGCTCCTGTGGGTCCTCTTGGTTGTCAGCTGGCAGTACTCTCGTTGTATCAGTGGTTAGCGGTGATGCCTGATCTCTGCGGTCCGGGGTCTTTCTTTCCTTGAAGCAGGTACCGTTTCTTCAGTGTTGGCAGCACCTGCTGCCCATGGGGAGTGAGCACTGGGGCACCTGCTGGGAATGGCTATCTCCTCACTGCTTTATTTCCCAAAGTTTTACAGCGGGAGCATCTTCTGGGTACCCATGACACATGACCCCGAATGCCAGCTTTCCCTCTGCCATCCCAGCGAGGCCCAGAACTTGTGGGCTAAGAGAGACCTGCTGCCTGAGTCCCGGCAGACTCCTGGTCTAGGGCTTCGTGGGTGTCATCCAGGGGTGGATTGGGACAGGTTAGTTGAACACCAGTAAATAATGCCCTTAAGTGAATGTGGTTTCCTCCATCTTACACATTTGGCATTAGGAACATGCCTTGGAATATGGTAGCTGCTGTCGATATGACATTTTCAGTGCAGAGCAGGTCTGCAGGAGCCGGGCTGTCTGGGCCCCTGTGTTGGCTCCCACTCAGTAGTGATGTGACTATGGGCAGGTTTGTGAAGTGGAGATAATAATGGCACATCCTCCTTGGATTGCTACGAATAGTAAGTGAATTAATGCCTGAGTAAACTTTTCAGAACAGTGTCTGCACAGAGGGGTGGGGTAGAGATATCAGCTCTGATTCTCACTTTGTGGTTGTTCATACTGCATTTTCATTAGTAATTCCTGGGGTGCACGAAAGCCACCACTTTTTGCATGTGTGTTTTGTAATTGAACCTTTACGGGATGTGTGTACCAAGTTGAGAACCATATTGTCATCCAGTATGAACACTGGGGACCCTGCTACCTACCGATGGATCGGGAAGCATTTCGGTGTGTTAGCAACTGAAGTGTCCAAGTGTCCACATACTGGCTGAGGTTGTTTCTTGTAAATACTGTTTTTCAGGTATCTGAACAGTTTCTGTTGGAAAGCTAGCTAAATATTCTTCAATAATGGAGTACAGAATTTAAACACAGCCTGTCTGTACTAGGGAATATTATGTAGCCTTTACCTGAAATGAGGCAAGCATACCTATCTCTAAGTCATATGCAAAGTAAAAGTTTTGAAAAAGCAAGTCAAAACAGTACAAGGAGTATGATGTCACTTATTTAAAAAATGACATTTGAGCATAAGTAACATGTGTTTGGGTAAAACTGCTGATGGTTCTTACTTCTGGGAGAGGACTGGGAAATGGGGATGCAAGTAAAGGAACTCTTACATTTTCCTCTGTGTATTTCTGTACAGACTGAATATTTTCCAAATGGGAATGCAGTGGTATTATTTGTATAATAAAGAAGAATTGAGCATTTAATTCAAGAAGCAAAAAATAGAAAACTAAAAAGGGAACAAATGAGTAAATATGTGAGGATACATTTGTGAATTTAAAAAAACTCCCAAAGATATGATAAAATAAATGAATAAACCAACTAGAAAACTTCTAGAAAGTCTGGCAGAGAAAAGAAAAATAACACAGGTAATTAACATCTGACAGGAGGGAGGGAATGCGCTCCAATACAGAGGAGAGGCAACACGAGAGAATCGCCAGGAAGAATCAGAGGGGGTTTGCACTAGCCAGTGTTGAAGAGTGTATTAAAAAGCTACAGTATGGAAGTGGTTAGGAATAGGTAAATAGGCCGACGGAAGAGAACGAGAAGCACAGAGTACACACACTTACGTGGGACATTTTGTACAATGAAGAACCATCCCAAATAAATGGGGAATGACAGAGTTTCACTAAGAAAAGTTAGTTCTCTACCTTATATAATGCATAAAAGAAATATTCCAGATGGAATACAAATCTACATGTAAAACTAAAACCATTTAAATATCAAAAGATAATGATTTGAGAAGTAAAGAGCTTGGAAGTTATAACTGCTGTCCCCACAACAAGAAAAAAACTGAGCAAATGGAAAATCAGCAGCTCTTCTCAGATCCATCAGAGAAATGAGGTCATGGGGCAAACTGCTACCCTGAAAACTGGAGAGACGGGTGAATGCACAGAATCAGAACTTACCTGAGAAGCCGGGAGCAGAAGCTGCTGCTGGAGCCAGTACTGTCAGGACACTCACAGGCCAACTGACATGTAATTAGCACAGAAATGAGAAGCCAGGCATGGTGTGCACCTGTAGTCCCAGCTACTTGGGAGGCAGGGGCAGAAGGATCTCTTGAGCCCAGGAGTCTGAGGCTGCAGTTACTATTTTCAATTACTAAAGCAGTGTTTTAAAAGTATAATCCCCACTTCTGGAAAATGATGGTGTAATTGGTATACATTGTTTTGGGGCAGCATTAAACTGGTTTACATTAGTACATCATGACACTGAAATACGTATTGATACATATCTGTTGTCATAAAAATGTTCATTCCTGTTAATTGAAGAATCTCAGTTTAGAGTATTTTGTCTAAAGAAGATAAACATGTTTTAATGTTGCGATCACCTGAGTGTAATTTCAGGGTTTGGGGTTCTGGGAGCGTTGGGATGGCTTGAAGCCAGGCTGAAGTTCACATGGGGCAGCTTTGCAGGGACTGTTCCACCCCTGCCCTTGAGAGCTCCAGACTCCAACTCCTTCGTTCCCCACATGCAGCCTCTCAGGGTCACCGTCGAGGCCAGGAAATACCACCTTGAACAAAAGTGGCCCCAACATTGACTTCCCTCCCTGGATATTTCATCTTCTCCTGAGTCTTAGAGTGATCTTTAAGTATCTTATAAGCTTTTAAAACTTTTAGGACGATTGGCTTCTCCCCCATATGAATTTTAGTTTACCAAGTTCTAGAAAATCCCATGCAATTTTGATTGAGATTATATTAAATTTATAACTAATGAGGGAGAAGAGGATGGTTTTTTACATTAACTTCCCAGCCATAAGCATGGCATCTCTTTAATTAGTTTTTTAAAAAGATGTGCTTCGGCCGGGCGCAGTGGCTCACACCTGTAATCCCAGCACTTTGGGAGGCCGAGGCGGGTAGATCACGAGGTCAGGAGATAGAGACCATCCTGGCTAACACAGTGAAACCCCATCTCTACTACAAATACAAAAAATTAGGTGGGCGAGGTTGCGGGCGCCTGTAGTCCCAGCTACTGGGGAGGCTGAGGCAGGAGAATGGCGTGAACCCGGGGGGCAGAGCTTGCAGTGAGCTGAGATCGTGCCGCTGCACTTCAGCCTGGGCGACAGAGTGAGACTCCATCTTGAAAAAGTAAAATAAAATAAAATAAAACATTTCAACTTAGCAAAAAGTGAAAAATTATCACAACAAATTTCTGTTAAATGCTATATCAAATATAAATAATAGGCCAGTGCAGTGGCGCTTGCCTATAATCCCAGCACTGTGGGAGGCCAAGATGGGCAGATTGCTAGAGCTCGGGAGTTACCAGCCTGGGCAACATGGGGAAACCCCATCTCTACAAAAAAATGCAAAAATTAGCTGGATGTGGTAGCACATGCCTGTAGTCCCAGCTACTCGGGAGGCTCTCACATCAGGCCATGTTCCAGCCACAGGTTGTTGCCTCCAACCCACTGAGAGCAGAGCTGTCTGGAGAGCTGATGGGAAGCTCCATGTGTTCGCCCCTGGGCTAGGGAAGAGCCTGCTTCCAGGCAGGCTGGACGTTCTCCTCCTCAGGCTTAGCGGCTTGTGGGTATAGGAGGCATGGAGTGAACTGGGCAGTGGCTGGCCCCCGGGGAAGCACAGATGTTGGCGTGAATAGCCAGGAGTGGGGTCAGCTCCCAAGACTCTGGCTTGGTTTTTCTATTGCTTTGCCGGGAGACCTGTGAGTACCATCTTGAGCATTCAGAGAAGGTCCCGTAGAATAAGCATGTCTTCCAGCAGATTCATTAACCAGTTTGCCGGGAGAGTCTGACTTTTGCTAAGCTGCAATGCTGGTGAGGTGAGATTATCACATGTTGCTTCTCCGTCCCTCTGCCTCAGTAAAAGAAGCAACAAAATGCCTCGATGGCAGACACTTCTGTGCCCACACCCCGAACAACAGCCAGTCACCTCCCGGCTGAGTGGGCTGGCTGCCCTCCCAGCTAGGGTTAGGAGGCCTCACAAGTGCTGGCTCCAGGCAATAGAATCCGCAAATGGAGAATTCGGTGAATTGGGATGGCAAGAATGGGACCTGAACTCTGGAGTGAGACCGAGTGGATTTGAACCCTGAACCCACCACTTAACTGGCTATGGGGGTCTTGGGAAGATGATTTAGACCTTCTCAGCCTTGGTCTTGTCATGTGTGGAATGTGAATGAGAATGGCACCTAACTATTGCCATAGTCACTGGCACCTAGTCAGTGCTTTATGGAGTTAGATATTTTTGTTATGATCAATGGCTGAACTGTTTATTAATAACAGTAAGACTGAGGCCTGCCGACTTACACAGGTCACCACGTCTCTCAATGCAGGTGACTGAAACGGGCTGGCACCTGGGCCCACAAAAGACTTTACTGGAAGGTAGGGAGTCCCCAGAGTCAGGAAAAGATGCAGATGCAGACCTGAGCATGGGAGCCAGGCCTCGGCACTCATTGGCAGTGGCGCAGTTTGGATCTGTGTCCCCACCCAAATCATGTTGAATTAACAATCCCCACTGTTGGGGGTGGGACCTGGTGGGAAGGGACTGGATCGTGGGGGTGGTTTCTGATGGTTTAACACCATCCCCTTGGTGTGGGCGTGGCGGCAGTGAGTTCTTGTGAGATCTGGTTGTTTTAAAGTGTGTGGCACCTCCCCTGTCTCTCTTTTCCTCCTGCTCCAGCCACTAAGACGTGCCTGCTCCCCCTTCATCTCCCGTCATGATTATACCTTTCCCGAGGCCTCCCCAGAAGCAGAGGCCACCTTGCTTCCTGTATAGCCTGAAGAACTGTTGGTCAATTAAACCTCTTTTCGTTACAAATTACCCAGTCTCAAGTATTTCTTGATAGCAGTGTGAGAACGAACTAATACAGGCAGGCGCGGGTGCTGCTGCAGGCCTGAGGCAGCTCTGGTCA